TTTTTTTGTTTTTGTGTGTGTGTGTGTGTGTGTGTGTGTGTGTGTGTGTGTGATCTGCGGATCAGGATAAGGTGTGATGATAAGATTTCGGTGATTATGATTCTCCTTAATTTCCGAGTCCTTGGGCCTCTTGGCATGGCACATGAAACGAAAAACGAAAAGAGTACATTGTCCTCAGCAAATCGACTGGCTCATCCTTTTATTCTAAATTGTAACGGAAGTAAACGGATGTATTTTCGGCCATGCCATCCTCTGTGGGCATATGCGCGAGGCCCCCTATCTGCAGGGATGGATAATTGATTGAGGTCAGGAATAATTTGGATAATAGGTGGTGGTGGGAATCCGTTTGGCTACTACAGTCTTCCCCCGAATACAACGTACGGTCATTATAGACTGAAATATAGCCCAAATTCAGCTATAATGACCGCACGTTGTATTCGGGGGAAGACTGTAGGTGGTAACGTAGGGGTACGGCAGGAGCAACTTTGAGGTGTACCCATTCAGATCCTGATCCTTATACACACAGCGATCCAAGGGGTGTGACTACCCATTGAGATCCTTACACTCACACTGATCCAAGGGGTGTGACTACCCATTGAGATCCTTACACTCACACTGATCCAAGGGGTGTGACTACCCATTGAGATCCTTACACACACAATGATCCAAGGGCTGTGACGACTAGCAACTGATCCAAGGGGTGTGACGACTAGCAACTAATCCAAGGGGTGTGACTACCCATTGCTATCCTTACACACACACTGATCCAAAGGGGTGTGACTACCCATTGAGATCCTTACACACACTGACCCAAGGGGGTGTGACTACCCATTGAGATCTTTAGACACTGTGATCCAAGCCTCCAAGGGGTGTGACGAGTCTGACGACTAGCAGCAGCGCTGTGCAATGGGTGGTGGTGGGGACGCTTTTGGTTAGGTGGGAAGGTAGGAGTATGGGGGAGTCATGTAACTTCACAGCGACACTGGACCCGCTTTCCAGTAAGTGATGCTCCCCACCAATAGATGAAGCCTTCAAAAGCGGCCCCACTGAAGGAAGATGCTATTACCAGCTTCTTCTTCTTTTTATTTTTATTTTTTTTTATTATAAAAAGATGCCTTCTCCTCACCTTCTTCAGTCGGAGACTGCTCTTAAGTTGAAAAAAAAAGACAAAACGTACGAGTCTGGGTGGAGCAAAGCAAACTTGAGGTGTGAATACCCATTGAGATCGTTACACACACAGAGATCGAAGGGTGGTGTGCAGTAGAGAACCCGTTGTGGTGTCTAAGGCGTTTACATTTGCGGTTTGTGCGCACACACCAGTACTTGGCCCAGCTATCGGCTGCGGAAAAAAACAGAGTCAAAATCTCGAATCCTATGTGTTTTTCTGTTTTTACGAGGGACGCTGGGCCCGGTTCCCAGCTTGTGTTTTTCGAAAAAGAGTAGAAACGTTTCTAGTTGGATGAATTTGGGCGCTCCTGTAGTGGCCCGAACGTTTCCTGAAGTCGTAGCGCTTCAACGGGCACGGCTTTAGAAAGTATACTGGTGGTAGGGGTGTATGATCAGTTCTGTGTTGTACAGACCAAACCTTGGGATTGTGTTTCAGTCTCTGTTTTGGTTTTTTGGTTCCTTAACTTCCTTGGGTGGACCTCTATTTCTTTTTTTTTTTGGTGGTGGTGGGGGAGGGGGGAACATTTCTCGATGATATAGGCATGTCCGCTGTGTGCGGGGGCCATGCTTTTTTTTTTTTTTTTTTTTTTTTTTTTTTTTTTTTTTTTTTTTTGCTTTTGCGGGGGCCATGCTAATCTTCTTTGTATCAATGTTAACGGGACATCCCAAAGGACGACGCGGATGTTTTAGCAGAATCTGATGTGTAGCGAAAAGTAATATGAGGCAATGGTTTGTTTCCCCTTTTTCACATTGTCCAGTTGTCTTTTATTGCCTTTTGAAAACTTTGCAAGGAGGCAGGAACATTGAAGGCCATTAAGGCTTTAGTATGGGACTGGGACGCTGGACCGGGTTTCCAGCACTAGCCTAAGCTGTGTGTATTGGCCCCAATACTTCCGGGTTGGTTGTTGCAAACTCCCGGCATCAAATGGTTGTT